AAGGATAGTACCCCAATAATGGAGAAGCAACTGAAAATCACCTGGAACATGAACTACAAGCTAAGTGTTTCGGGGTTTAAGATTAGGGTATGGGTTCAGGATATCTGCTCATGTCCCCTGGGCCCACTTTCTGGCAGACTGCTAGAGTCCAGATGCAAAAAGGGTTTGCCCCCACCCAGTAACAGTCTATATTAGGGGGTCCTATTAAGGGCTGTATGTATAACCATGTTATATTTATTATCCAACTGTTAGTGAGGGGAGGCACAGGGTTTGGGGGATGTATAAGTGTGTACAGGGATTGTTTAAGGGTTACAGGGTCACGTAGGAGTACAAAGGAGGTTCATCGGGAATCAAGGAATTGAAAGGAACATAGAGACGACTGTGTTGATTCTTAAGGTTTAGAGTTCACAGCTCTCGGCATGGACAAGACAGACAACCGTCAACAGAAACTGATGCGCTGTGGGGAACCATGAACGGGCCCTTATAGGGGTTCACCCAAACATCTCCTACTAACAATCAGATCAATAAGTTATATAGCCCCAAACCATATAATAAATCCCAATTTCCATTTCATCTTGGATTTGCTCTTCCATTTGGTTTTCCATTCCCTACTAACTACTCCAAACCCGAAACCCCAAATCGTAGCCTCCATGCTCTTTTCCATTCCTGCCCATCTCTGCGCAATAGACCCTGGCTTCAATTTCATCTCCATGTGCTTTTCCAGTTCTTCATAGTCCATCATTGAGATGTTAGAGCCCTACATAAGCCTACATATTTCCCCTAGTTATCCGTACTGGCTAACAAAACCCTAGACCCTAGACACAAAAGTCCACGGGCTTGAAAAAACCCTAACAGCCAGTAAGGCTGCTGCAGCATGTCGCACGCTGCTCTGCAAGGTCGCTGGCAAGTGGAGCAGTATGACACAAAACGAATGTCCTTCCCCTAGTATAACCCCCCTTTAAAGGGATATACAGGGGTACATACGGAATTGAAAAGAAAATGCGAAGTCTTCTATTCTTGAGGGTGTAGGATTTAGAGCTAATATTAAGACCCCCCCAACTCCCCTAGTATTTCCACCGTGATTTACTGTAAGTTACCGGGAAGATTTAAACACTATTTTTTTTTTTTTCGGGGTGTGTGTGGTTTTTCGTGCTAGGGGGAGGGGAGTAAGCAACGGCCTTTCCATGCTGCCCTAAACCCTAAACCCTAAACCCTAAACCCTAAACTGCCTGGGGAGGTGACGCTTCAGTATTTCGACCCTTGACTTTTAGTAGATCGGTGCCAAGCCCGGGTGAGACAGATGGAGACCAGATCCTGGGTTCGTTAACAAAGGGTTTAGGGTTTAGGGTTAGGGTTTAGAGTTTAGGGTTTAGGATTTAGGGTTTAGAGTTTAGGGTTTAGGGTCTAATGGAAAAGAAAATGGAAGCTACTATAGGGTATATATTGGGACTGTATTGGGATAATGGACAAGAAAATCGAAGAGTATATATTGGGATTTTAGTGGGATAATGGAAAATTTAAGATGGAAACTATTATTTTTTTGGTTTAGGGTTTAGGTGTGGTTGGGTGATTGACCTGTCCTCTGGTATATTCCTTGTAAGGAGCCAGACTTCCTAGACAACCCTTCTGAAGCCATAGAAGAGACGTCTTTATACGGATCCTAAGCCTTAAACCCTATACCCGTGCCGTACTGGCATCTTTTGGGGATTCGTGCCTTGGGGAGAAATGGCCCCACAAAAAAAAACCCTTAAACCCTAAACCCTTTCCACCTATGTTGGCTTAATTATGCAAGGCTTGCGCGGTGCGGGCGTGTAGCTCGCATACGGAGTCCGGAGCTCACTTGGAGAGAGGTCGCCAAGGCTGAGGAAAATCTGCAAGCTTAAAACTTCAACCCTAAACCCTAAACCCGAAACCTAATCCAGAATCCAGACCCGATCCTGGGAGGCGCTTGCATCTGTGGAGCGGGGGCCGCTCTGGTGGTCGGAGGTACCCTGCACAGGTGCTGTGCCATCCCACCGGCAGGGGCTAGCGCTCTGCGGTGCGCCAGGGCCGAGCTTTGGCAGCAACACTTAGCAGGGGTAAGCATGGTAGTTTTCAGCATGTTGTTTGTTCGCTGGAAAGTGGAAACTGTTTCAAACCCTTCTATGCATGATCTGTGTGACGAAGCGTTGGCAGACCACCACCAACTGTTTGAGCCATTTATCCCCAGATTCATTTGCTGACCATGTGCTTGCGGAGCTGACCATCCCAGGCAAGAAAGAGCTGTCCTCTTCGGTGGAAACACTTCCGTGAGAGTAGCCGGTGGCTGGCAATCCTCATCAACCCTGTGCATGGTAGACCTACCTGCAGACGATTATGGCAGCGCTGAAGCCTTAGTTGGAACAACTTGAGATGCCCGAATGTCCTCAAGTTAGCACACAGCCTTGCCCTGGCAGAGCCAAGGTCAACTTCAGTATGTTTGAGCCAAGTAGCCCATCCACGCCGTGGCCTTGCTCCCGGTGGGGAGCAACCCTTACAACGGCGTCCTCTTCCCAGGATGGCGCGGCGCTGCTTTGGGGCGGCTGGAGCCGGGAAGGTGACACGGACATGCCCTGGATGCTGCGATTTCGCGAAGCTGGCCCTTGCTGGAGCGAGCTCTCTTGTGAACGGCGGCCTCCGGCGGCTGCCTTCCACACGGGCACAGGTGCGCGGGGATGGTACGCATGGGCAACCAGGAGTTGGGTAAAGGGTTTCTTGCGCACCCCAGCGCAGACCTCTCTTGCACACCCCAGCGCAGACCTCTCAGACTTGACCGGAACGCCTTGTTTTTTGTTATTAATTACTATCATTACTACCATAGTCTTTATCATTATTGCTATTGTCATTATAGCTATTATTCCTAGTATTACTATTATTCCTAATACAATCCCAGACCCCCAGAATGATCTAAAAATTAGATTACCTAGAACCATGGGGGGAATTATATAGGGGTTATGATGGGTCTATATAGGTCTAATTTTTAGATCCTCCCAGGGGTCTAGGATTATTATGCAGACCCTAAACCCTAAACCCTAAATCCTATACCATTATTATGCAGGCTTACCCGATGGGAAAAGGCTAGCCCTGATCGGCGGCCTGGGGAATGGGAGCTCGCGGGATGCTGTAACTTGGCTCCAGAAGTGGAGGTTTCCCAAAAGGTTTAGGGACTAGGGTTTAGGGATGATTAGGGTT